GAAGTGTACCTCTGGTGCAAATTACTGACCTCTGTCATCATTTTAAGTGGGGGAACTTGCACAATCGGTGGCTGACTAAATACTTTTTTGCCCCACTGTAGCCTTATCAGTCAAAACTGTATCCATAAAAAGGCTGGCTGCACTAGAATTAAAATTAAATAAATGTATATGTAATACTAATAAGAAAAAAAGCACAAATCTATGGTTTTTCATACTGGATTTGTCGCGTTTGTGTATATTTTAAGTAACAAGACAATACTGTTTTTACTCCAGGGTCTTATGAGCATAGCTTCAGACATCTGCCGCCCCAAGCAGTTTAAATAAAAGTAGCAAAAGTAAGATTGTGCTAAGTTCTTCCAGTTGGATAAAAACTCTTTTTAAAGTCTCTTTTTCTTGTTTCTTTCAGGAGTTTAGGGGTCCATTTCTCTAAAGTGCGTTCACTGACGTTAGACTCGTGGGAGCCAGAATTACTTAAGGTGCGCCTTCTTAACGCTTTGCCTACAGCTCATCTTCCCTCTGCCATGCTTTTTCCTCCCAGCAGAGTTACACGTCTTATTCCTTTAGTTCATTGCTAATGCAATTTTAATTAGCCCTTTTAAAAAAATGTTCACTTTCTGTGTTGTCTCTCTCATGTTTGTTCTCTCATCTTATATTTAGCTGATGTGTGAATTGGGGAATACTGTGATCAACCAGATTTATGAGGGATCCTGTGAAGAACTCGGAGCAAAAAAACCAGGCCCCTCCAGTTCAAGGTCAGTTTCTATCCAGCAGAGTAATTTTTCCAAGACTCTAAAGATACCTTTTACCTTCTTTCTTATGATCATTTACCTCCAGACAGGAGAAAGAGGCCTGGATCAAATCTAAATACGTGGAGAAACGCTTCCTGAAGAAGATGAGTGGCAGCGAAGCGCTCGTGCAAGGTGAAAGGAAGTCCCGCCCTTGGACAGTGAAGAAATGCCAGCGACACAACAGCTCTGTTCGGGCACCCAACAAGGCTCGTAGGAAATATCACCGATATGAACCTGGCAGCGCCTCGCCGGCAAACCTCTCAGCAGGTCAGTGTGGGGACTTGTGATGTGGTGATAAAACCAAACACACTGTGAAGCCCAGACTGAACTCTTGTTCTGATCTTTTATTCTCCTGCAGCAGCTGCAGCAAAGTTTCGCCGGGACTCGCTGTTCTGTCCAGATGAGTTGGACTCATTATTTTCCTACTTTGACACTGGCTCTGGTCCTCGCAGTAAGTCCACTACACAATGTGTTGATACAGTGCATTGTTATTGTAGACATTAGAGAAGATTTTAGGCTCCACAGTGAAACAAAATAACTCAGAAACTGAAGTTCTTATAGCAGTTTTCCACATATTTGCGATTTCCTGAACAATCCAACCGATAACGTGTCTTTATGTAATGCAGTTTGTGCCAAGTAATGATTAACGTGTCCGTGGCTTGGCAATGCTTGGCCCTGCAGGTCTCAGTAGCGACAGCGGCCTGGGAGGAAGTACTGACGGGAGCACAGACGTCCTGGCCTTTGGCTCAGTGGTGGACAGTGTAACAGAGGAAGGTACGTGTGCTTGTGGGCTCTGTGCCACCAGTGTAAGTAGCTACAATTTAAATTAAATCGTGTTACATGTACTTATATTGTCGCTCATTCTCATGTTAAATTATTCACACACAGAAGAGGAGTCAGAGGAGTCCTCCAGTGGTGAGGTGGAAATTGAACAGGAAGTATCCTCAGACCCTGAAGACCCAAGAGAACTCCACCCTGGCGCGCTCCTATACCGATCCTCCCGACTCCACAACTTGCCGCTCATGGCGGAGGCTTTGGCACACGGTGCTGACGTACACGCCGCTTGCGAGGAAGAGGAGGGAAAAACGCCACTCATTCAGGCTGTGATAGGGGTGAGACACTCTGTGATAAACATGTGTGGGTGTTTTGGTTTGGATAAAGTGATGTGGATGTAAATGAATAATTTCATTTATTAAATTAAGTTTATCTGTTTAATTGTTAAGTGACTTCAGACCAGTGCCCTTGATGTCAAATGTCATGAAGGTGCTGGAGAAACTGGTTCTTGCCGGCTTTGCTTGCAGGTGACACATGCTCTCCACCCTTTTAAGCCAGTTTCTGTTGAGGGTGGATATCTACATGCTGCTGCATGTCTCTCCCACCTGGATAGTATGGATGGTACTATTGGCATTATGAGAGAATTGTGGGGTTTGGGGGGGTTTGTTTTTTTCCCCTCCACATCTTTAATACCATCCAACCACTTCTAAGTGAGAAGCTGCTCAGAATGGGTGTCACCACTTCTACTGTTCTGTCAGAGTGGCTTCAGTTTGCACAGCTGGTGTGGTGGTTTGTAATACTCAGGCATCACAGGGGACAGTCCTGTCTCCATTCCTGTTTACTTTGTTCACCGCAGGTTTCTAGTACAACAGTGAAACATGCCACATGCAGAAGCTTTCTGACACTGCAGTAGTTGGAAATCACCTCCTCCTTCTCAATGTTAGCAAGACAAAAGAAATGGTGTTTGACTTCCGGAGGGAAAAAAAAATTGTAACTAGGCCCATTAACATCATGGGTGGAGAGTTAATTCACATCATTGGCCAGAATCTGGAGGGCATTTGAGTCATCAGCTCTCCTCCACACTACAGAGGCAGCACAGCTCCTTCTCCCTCAGACTTATTCAACCCCTTCATATGCGCCTTTTCAGGCAATCATTCCTACCGTTCTCAGTGAAACTGTACAATAACTCTTCTTGACAGGTGAACATGTTTGTCAGGCACAAGATACTGCACACATATTTCTGCATTATACCTTCTTGAAGGTGTTTCTTGAGTTTAAAATATCCATATTATTTATTAATGCAATTTATACTGCTCCATTACACTCTTTAAGAAAAAAAAACAAAAAACCTTCTTTAAATTAACCTCATTTTTATTTCACTTTTTTATTTGTGTTGTTTTTTTGTTTTTGTTTTTATCACTGTTGGGTGTGTATATAGTGCAAACTTTCTATCTCACAATATAAGACCCTCACTATGCGGCAGTGGCACTTTTACTATGTTGTGTATTTATTATAGATTGTGCTTTTATTGTAATTTTTTATCCTGCTGCTGTAACACAATAATTTCTCTGTTGGGATAAAGAAAATCTTTTTTTATCTGGACTGTCTACATTAAAAAAACATCTGCAGTCATAAACGATTAAAAACAAGAAAGACTCTCCACGTAAATGCATCGTCTGCCATTATGAACACTGTAGACTTGAAATTCTCCATCTGTCTCTTTGTTAGGGCTCCTTGATAGCTTGTGAGTTCTTGCTACAGAATGGGGCCGATGTGAACCAGAGGGACATGAGAGGCAGAGGCCCACTGCACCATGCAACCGACCTGGGGCACACTGGGTAAGAGAGACATGGAAGTAATAAGCTGTGTCTGATAATCATTGTGTTCTAGCCTGTGTATAATGTCATGAAATGTGGAAATTATTAGGTAAAAGCTACTTTCAGCTGCTCCCTTCCCACAAAGTGGTTACCACAGCAGGTGGCTCCCTGTGTTTGAGTTTTGCGCCAGACGTAGTCCCAAAGGGGATTTATGTCTCCAGCTAGAATTGAACCACCTTTTCTCTTGCCAGGCGAATGTGTAAACCATTGTTGGTACACCTAATATTAATGTACCAACAGCAGTGAATACCTTTTGTTTTGAATGTTAAGGAATGCATGAAGTAATCTTTCCCTATAACAAAACTTCCTAACCAGTTTTGATAATCGTGTTATTCTTTGACACACTATGTTGTTTTAACCGGGAAAAACTACAGGAAGTGTCACTGTTAAAAAAAAAAAACGCACACAAAAGTCTTCCTCTGGTATGCAGTATAATCCCACGTGATACTTGCCAAGTATTTTAAGTATTCACATTTGAAACTGCTTAAACTGGACCTATACGTTCAGACTAAAGTATGGAGCACATAGATAAACTAATGATGAAAGGCATCAGTGAATACCACATCAGTAAGTCATCATGTGTGCATTTCACAAAATCTGCCATGTCACTATTGCTATTGTGGACCATATTTTATTTTTTGACTCTGCTAGGGTGGCATTAAAAACAATCCTTCTTTATTGTACTGCCTGAAACAAGCTGTTATAGCTTCTCTTCTTTTAAGCCAAGCTTCTTGTTATTGGTTACCCTTAATAAACAGATGTTTTGAACAGCAAATAGGTGGAGATATTCCTAACATGATGTGCTTGACATGATCATAATGGGGATATCCACTTTATGATACCATTCAGAGCCTTTGGTGATGTCTTATATAAGAATCAGACAGGAAACGAGGGAATGGGGCGCAGCAAATGCCCACAAGTGAGACTGGGACCCAGGCTGCTACACTTTAGCCTTATAGCATGTGGTCAACCAGTGAGCAAAACTGGGACCCTGTAGGGTAAAGAAATTTGTTTGTCTTCCCATCTTTGTTTGTACAGCCAGGTGTGTCTGTTCCTGAAAAGAGGAGCATCACAAACAGAGGTGGACGAACAGGGCCATGATCCTTTAAGCATCGCTGTGCAGGCTGCCAATGCAGACATCGTCACCCTGTAAGACACTCTGTGTAATAGTAGCTGATCTAGAAGAACATGTATTACTTCATGGTTTTGCTGAACAAGCAACTAACCTGGCAAAACTTTAACAATTTAAATGCAGTCAGCTGAATTTTTTCTCTCTGTGGACCATATGTTTGTCTTTTGTGGTATTGATCCATGCTTTAATCCATGTGACTAAAAGAATTACTTGCACCAGATTGTTATTCCACTTGTAAGCACTGCGGATAAACAGTTAAAAAATAGTTTAAATCTTTATAATGTTATTATGAAAGCTTGTGTATCCATCATTGGTGGCAAAGTCATAACAGTTCTTTTCTTACCTTCCTCCCTCCTCTCACCCTTACCTTATTTTCTCACCTTCTATCATCTCCCTTTGTCCTGCCTCGCTCCTTCCCACTCCTGTCCTCCAGGTTGCGTCTAGCTCGGATGAATGAAGAGATGCGAGAGGCAGAGGCGGCTCCGCTGGGTCAACCAGGTCAATACCCCACAAGCAGTCCCACTGAGCAGCAGTATAGGAAGTGCATCCAGGAATTCATCTGTCTCAACATAGACGAATGCTAGTGGTCACTTCTGTACCGTGGAGCAAAGCGTGTGCTCTATTTATAAATCTTCCTCCTGACTGAGAAAATAACATATTCATGTAAAAGCTGCCCCTACACCCTGATCACAAGTCTGTTACTTCCCCTAGATCTAAGCCTGCAGGCAACTTCTGATAAGCTGGGTGTCTGAATACAGAGTGACTATTGGATGCTTCGAGTCATAGGGAGCATCCCCGTGATGGACCTTTCTAACTCTACTGACTATCCAGTCACCTTCACCATCTTCCTGCTTCGCCACTATGTTTCTGCTTGCCATTACTTGGCACTACCAATCCTAGCTACACAACACAGCCAGTAAAATGACATCAGCTTTCTTGGTGTTTTGCTAACAGGGTTATGCTCTAACTTCATTACATGGTGTGACCTCCTGTATGAGGGTGTGGGTGTTTTTATTTTTGTTGCCTAACAGCTCTTACCTCAGAAGAATCTCGCTGCATTAATCCTGTACACTTTATATCTATCCAGACCATCTGTGTGACATCCAATGTACCCATCTCTCCTTCATCAGAGATGTAAATATGCATATTTAGAAGTTTAGAAACTGTGTACTGTGGCATGAGGTAAAACAATATGGTATTTGTTCCAGTAACTTAAAAGAAAAAGAGTAACTGACAAGCTGCAGTAGAGGTGGGCAGGATAGTTTTACTGTGTATAAAAAGGGGGGTCGGGAAGGAAGAAGTGAAACTGTGACAAAAATGTTGAAGGGCTTGTGGGGAAGAGACCCTCGCCTGCTTTGTAAGATACTTTGTGTCGTCATGAGTGAGTGAGTGAACAGGAGAGTGCATGTGTTAAAGAATACTGAGAGACAGTTAAATAATATGTAAAGGGAAAAAAAAGACTGCACTTTTCCCATATACAGAATTATCATTTAGCTTTTACATTGTTCTTGTCTAGTCAAGTTGTTGTCGATTTATTGTCTATTTTAATGATGTCTTTTTTATTTATCTTTCCAGAGGACCAGTGCAATGCATTATTGAATGCAGTTTTATATCAGCATTTCTGTTAATGATTGTCATTTCAATCTAAAATCCTTATTCAGAATTTATGATGGAGGTCTTTAGATATATTTTACATTAACAGCAGTCAGAAAACTTTCAAATGGCCTTAGATTACAGAGTACTTTTGTCTTGGCAGTAAAACGTGCCACTTCTCATTAGGTTATGCAAACACATCGATGGAACTTCTGATTTCTCTGAGGAAATTCTGAATTGACAGTGACTCATTATTTGAGCAATAACTGCCAATAGTTCAGAGCAGTGAGAACATGCCGAAATGTAAAATTGCATCATGTTATTCACTTCCATTTATAGAACATAAAACTAAAAAGCTCTTCAGCTTCCTGGCAATGGTAATATTACAGGAAAGTATTCGTGTTATGTTGAAATTATGGAGTATATTTAATCTTTTAAAAACTCGTGTCGTGACAGACTAGCATATCTACGTCAATGCTAAGAATATCCTCTGTATGCTTTGCTAGATTTTTGGGAAGTTTGACCTTTGCATCTTGAGCATGATGAATATTTTTTCTATAATTTGATCACTTTGTGCAGTGCAGTCCTGTCAAAAAAAGCATGTACCGATATGACCTCTCTGGTGTCAGAAGTTTCTTCCTTTTTCCACCTCTGTGCCATTGTTTCATCCACACACGAATCTGTGGTGACTTTTCTTCTTTTCTTTTCATTCCTTTCATTTTTTTTTATACTGTGCTTTTATTTTCCTCTGCCAAAGACTTTTTTTTTTTTAAAGGGAAAGTGTCTGACACTGTTGTATAACATCATGTTAAAAAAAGGAAAAAAAAGAAGAATTGTTTTGGGTATATACAGGATACTCTTACCATCCTTTCTGAGTTGTGAGAGTGGTAGAAACACTGTTGGTGCTCACATGTTCAGAAGATGTGACTTACCTGATAGATGCAATAGTTCAATGTACTGCAAGTAGAACCAGTCTCGGGGGGTGATGTGAAGCTACTGTGACCAAACTGTTAAGAGCTGTCGCCCTCGCGGAAGTATTAAATGTTGTGTCCATTTGTGTGTAGTATTGGCTTAAGAGTGGTTAAAGGCGCAAACATGCTGTATATAGTACACTTGCATATTTTAACTTAATGCTAACTTCCTGCCTCTCAGCATTCGGTCACAGATTCTGTTTAATGTTTGTTTTTTCATTGTCTTTGAAAAACAGCCGGTCGGGTAGAACTGTGACACGGTTCTGAATTACTTGCGGGGGTTCTTCTGTTTACTGGCATTTGGATATCTTTGGAATACTCCCTTCCATGTCTTTAGAAGCACTAAGGGGAAAAACAAAATACATACAATAAAACTGAGAAACTGAAATGGATCTGTTAACCCAGCTGCCTGCTTCTTATTCTCATTGCTGTTCCCTCTCTCATCTTTTCTGTCTAACATTCTCCCAGCATTCTTTTTCCAGATGATAGCTGCTCTAATTATTGAATAATAATAAATACGGCAGTGGTTGTAATCCATAGATATAGCCAGATGCTGGGAGAGTGCTATTTTACAGAATACTCTGGTGTGTCTTTGGTGATTCACAAACTTTTGGTAGCACTTGGCTTATTCAAAGCAATAAACCAATTAGTCTCATGTTGTGAAATATCACTGAGGTGTACACAGACTCTACTATTTAAGAATAACTTAAGCATTCAGAGTCTTATGGGTATTAAAACAGTGCTTCATCTGCTTGCCCGCAGCAGCAACACCGTGCCTTGAATAATTCAGTGTCTCCAGTGTGTAAAACATGTATGTGCTCTCACAAGCATATGTCACACCATCCCTGAATAAAATGTCCTCTCTAATTCCTTTAATTTAACACTAAAGACAAATGACACATGTCCACTTGAGGAAATAACCACTGACTGACATATCATTGCTTCTGTTACCACAGGACGTACCCCGAGCAGCAGGAGAGTAAAACCTAAGGATGTTCGGGATAGAGTGAGTGAAGCATCCTGGGCTGTCTTGCTGTGGCACACTAGCGTGATACTATGATTTTTCCTGCTCTGGTGGTTGCGCTTTAACTTGAGGTTCTTGCTCTGTGGCCCTCCCCCCTCCTATTTTTATGGATAAGCTTGGAAAACATTTGCTGTGATAATGCTGCCAGTCTTTTCCCTTTCTTATAAATGAGGCACAGGAACATTGCCTTAAGGAGGATGTGCCAAGACGGCTACAATACAGTATTTATACAGTTAAACTGTAATTTTGACTGAATTCAATGAGAGTTGGTAAGTTAAAAAAAAAGAATGAACAGGATGCTCACCACTACTTCCCTTTAAATTCCACACTTGCTATTAAGTATCCAGGAATCCCATTTAAGAGGAAATAAGGTTTTTTACTTGTACGCCCCATGAGGCTTAGGAGCAACGCAAAAATATGAGGCTGCGGGCACTTTTCTCTTTCGTGGGTATGCAAAGCAAACATTGATCTGATCTTTCTTCCTTATAATCTTGCTTATATACAGTACTGTACAAAAGGCTTGAGTCACCAATTGTTTCTTAATTTGCTTCTAATAAGCCAGACTTTTGTTATTTTAAAAAATGTGGTCAATAGTTCAAAGTTTATCAGCTGCTTTTTCACTGAACTTTACTCCAGTCTTTGTGCCTCACAATTTCCATTCATTCAAGTATAAAAATGCTTCTGACTTCAGGGATGTGCCAGGCTCGTCTTAACAAACAACTTGCCAAACAACTGGTTTTAAATGTTATTTTTAGTCACCGTGTTTCTGATAAATGGTCAACACCATTTGTTGTAGATAAAACATTATTTTTGTACCAATGAGTTGATTCCTAAATATTAGCTGAAAACTTAACAAATGTCCACGTGGCTTTCAGCATGCGCTTAAAATGTTGAGGAAAGGGGACAAGAAAGGATTTGAAAAAAACAGATGAACAGGATCTGAAAGTCATGTGCTTAAGAAACAGGTTAGAAATACAGCATAGACCTGGCACAGGCTCTGAGATATGCACCTGACCCTTCATTTGATCCCTCTACTGTTGACTGAAGCCTCACAGAAATTGTCTCAGTGCAAGGGTGGCTAGATTCTTAGGAAAGGGAAACGGGTAAAGAAGAATGACATACGCCAAATATACAAGAATTGGACTAAAAATCAGTGGCAACATTTTTGAAGGAGTAATGAATTCAAATTTTATATTTTTAGTTGGTGTCAGTGAGTGTCTACAGCATTGTCATGGTTGGATTTTGACCCACCATGTAATGATGACAGCTTCATTTTTAATGATTACAATGATCCCGACCACACTTCCAAAGCATTGCTAGATAGAAAAACTCACAATGAAACAGTATTAGGCATAGATTGGTGTTACCAAAAGAAAAAGAAATGAGTGGTGTCTCAAGAGTTTTTTCACAGTAGTGTATCGCATATTCTAAATGAAGGTTGGTAATTCTCCATGGTGCCCTGCAGTGGGACAAATCCTTGACTTCAGTGTCCACTGTTTCAGGTGACATCTCCTGCACTGATGTCTTTCGCGAGTTTTCTCTCCTCGCGTCTCTCCAGCCCGAAAAGTTGAGAAGAAGGAGCTTACAGTTCAGCAGCTGTAAGAAGCCAAAGTGATCACTGCTGACCCCTCACTTCATCCGACCTCTCTTCAGTCACTTTGGAATCAGGCAGGAGACTGCTGCGTTCGATTAGAAGAGCTGTTGGTCCGCCGAAGTGAATGCTCTGGGAATGAAAAAAGAAAAGTCAAATTCCAGTAGGCACAAGTTAAAACTACAGCAGACTTGTAATAGTTGTAATATTCTCTCGTAAATAAACTTGGTCAAAGACAAACAGTTCTATTGCACTGATGTTTTAGCTGACTTACTCCAGTTTTGATAATGTTAGTCATCCAGCAGAGCTGACATTAACATTTGATGACCTTTAGACATATAACAACAAAACAATTCTCAACCTGTCCAACTAATATTGCATAGGGCCCCATTACAAAGTAAACTCAACCTTGGACCTGTCTGAGCATGAACAATGGGACCTGGAGCTTGAGTTGGATAGGACATCATGTAGATGCATCATCAGATTGGAATCTGGGGAGCCTTCGATCAGTGCCTTGGCTTGTTTTTTTTGTGTTCCTATTTCGGTCAACGGGAAGTACAATTTCTTTATGTGCAACAGTTTTTGGACAGATGGTCATATGTGCAAGGAATGTCCTCATGACTCTCAGGACCCGAGTTCTCCCCGGAGAACAGTGCAATGCAAGAGGTGATGATTGTTATTTCAGGAAGCAGTTGAGCTTCCCAAACTGTGGGTCTCACACCCACACCAACAAAGTTTTAAAAAAAAAATAACACAGATAAAATAATCCGGGTTTGACTGTGTTTGCTAATGCTTATGCAAATATTTCCACGGACTTAATGACGCTCTCTATGATGAGTAAATGAAACTTGACCTTTAAATTAAGTGAAGTAATCCTTTAACATTTCTTCAGCATTTGTGATGAAATTTCTGATAAAAATGATTTTAAGTGTTTTGTAACTGATGGCAGAAGTCAAATAAAAAAATCTACTGAAATTATTAAAGGTCTTGTGGAATGTTTTAGCGGACTAAACAATGGTTGTTGTTTAGTCCGTGTTTTGTTGCAAATCCAAATTTAAGCACCAGCATAAAGTACCGGGGGGCCCTCTGAGCCCCTGGCATCAGACAGACCGCTGTGTAGTGTGTCAAGTGCTACTTGGCGATTGACTATAAATGTAAGTACGGATGTTATGATTAAAAGACAGTTACTGAAGGGTGACGGTACTGGACTTCCAGGAGGATCGCGATTGGGCAGCTAGCGACACTAATGCACTTGCTAAGTAACGTTTCGACTGCTACAGCAGCGATGAAGAAGAAAACCGGAAGTGTAATTTTTCCTCCTGCTGGCGATAGCGTAAGCTACTTTGGTGTCATCGTCTTATCGGATTGGGGTTGGCAACAGAAATAACAACCTTATTTCGTGTCCAGCCACGAATACATATTTTCGTTGGGGTTTCTGGAGAGGTATGTGTATACTGCACATCCCGTAGTTACTAATAAAAGCGAGAGATGTCGCGGTCAGCTGTCGTTATACAATATACAATACAACTGTTCCTGCTAGTAGCTGCTAACATTAGCCGGTTAGCAGTGGCCTACGTTGGCTAACGTTAGCCACTTGTTCTAAAATGCACTCAAACAGGAACCGACACCGGTTAGCATTAGCAAAGCCACCGTGCCAAGCTAGCTTTCCTGAACTGGCTTTACTGATTAAAGTGTGGTGTGATTAAAGAGTGGTCAGACACATGCAGTCATTCTGTAGCTGAAGCTTGGTCCGTAATAGTTGTTTATTATTTAATTATCAGGCTTTATGACAGGCACTGAATGTGACAGAAATGTAACGTTAGCTGCTAAGTAGCGGATTAGCCTCAGTCACATAAGTTGCGTTAAGAAGCCTTCCTCTTTATTAGGAAGTGATAATGACATAATTCTAGCACTGTTGCGGTCCACGTACTGCTTATTACATGTCAGCGTTTGTCCCCGTGACACCAGGTCAGTTGACAGTGTTTGTTATTGTCGTAATTTTCAATTACATGGGTTGACAGGGGAAGAAAGTTTAAAGTACAATTATATCCGTTGTGTAAGTATTTGGAACACGATGCGTATTTTAACTTGAACGCATTACATACTATATTCCACTCTCTGCTAAATGCTTACTTTTTCACTTGGCGAGGCAGTGTTGTATGCATATAGCATTAAAGCACCACAGCAGTGCTGTGCATGAGTTACAAAACAAACAGTCACAGCGCCATTAGAGAACAATGAGAGATTGGATAAATTGTTTTTAAAATTCGGTGCTTTTTGTAAGATGTACTAATTGGACAACTTCATCTTTTAGGAAAACAGAGGCGAAGTTATCACTTGATATTTAAACTTCACTCTGCAGCCAGAGTTGAGCTATTTCTGCCTGTTTCTCCAGTTAGCGTTAGCATTTGCTAATAAATAAACAGAACCCTGTACTGGTTACGTGTTGTTCAGTGTGAGATTTTACTGCCCTTCTCTGCTTTTGTTGTTGTTGTTAATTAACACACTGTTAGTCTTTTCAACCCGATTTCACTCTAGTTGAAACACATTGAACATGTTAGGAACCTTGGCCTTATTTTGGACAGTGGTCTTAGCATTCATAATCATACTAATAAGGCCAACACAACTGCGTATGCAGCTTTCTAACAGTATAACCATATGTCAAAAAAAATTCTTATCTCAAACTGACTGGGAAATAGTCCATCCATTCATATCAACCAGGTTACTGGTGTATTTGCAAGATTATCCAAATCATCAGCTAGATAACTTCAGCTTGTTTGAAATTAATTGGCTGCCACTGCAATACAGAAATGCCTTTAAAATGCTTCTATTTGTTCCTAAAGCACTCAGTGGTTTGACCCCCAGTACATCTTGGACTCTGAGACCTCTCAGGTCATCAGGTGCAGGTCTGTAAACTGTTACCAGAATGAGATGAAAGTTTGCTGAGGGTACATTTTGTTATAATGGTTCTCTTCTTTGGAACAACCTTCCCACTGACCTGATGTCAGTTCCAACTGTGTCTACATTCAAAAACAAACTTGGAGCCTCTTTATTCTTGCAGGCATATGATTAATAACTTTGTGTTTGTGTGTGACTGTTAATGTATCTCTCTTATGTTGTTTTTATTGCCTTAAGAGATTGTAGA